TTTTTAGGTTTAGATTCAAATTTCTTATTATTTAGATGAATTATGGTATTTTATGATAAAAATTGGAAAACAAATCAGAAATGAGGGAGACTTTACTGTTTTAATGAAATTATTGTCAATGAAGTTGCATGCTACTGCTGGTTTTACAAAAATTAAGAAAGAACTTATATTACTTTTTTTCCTTTTCCTTATCTTTTAAAACAATGACTAACGCAAATAAGTAATGCAGTTTGTAGCAGTGACTTCTCAGATACAATGAAGAATTTTGAAGACTTAGCTATGCAGAAATCATGAATTAGGCGACTGAAGAGATAGAGAAATTTTCTGTGTATTGACTCAATTGTTTGTACATATATATATATATATATATATATATATATATATATATATATATATATATATAATTGAGTATTGAATAAAATAAAGAAAAAGGAAAATTACTATTTACACTTGTCCTATTTGTATTTGTCTATTTGCAACAGAAAAATTCTATCCTAACTAATTGATATTCCCTTCACGTGACCTTCAGATGAGGTAGGAAGCTTCTACTAATTAAACAAATCAAAGGTCCAGATTTAATCCATCAGGAAAAGATGTGTGGCTATGATTAGCCACTCCAAAGTCTGATGTGTGGCTGTGATTTCATAACTTCTTCAAATAAAAGAACACCCGACATATATCCTAGGTTGTATCGAAACAACCCTAGTTTGGTCGGTCTTCCTTCTCCTTTCCTCTTCTTCCTCGTTCAGACCTCATACCTCCATTGATGTTCAAATTGAGCTGGGGTTTTGAATCTCTTAACATCCCCCCTCAAGTTGAAGGGGAGTGTAGCGACCCCCAACTTGCTCAGAATCCCTTTATGAGAAACCCCAGAAATAGGCTTAGTGAATAGATCGGCCAACTGATCTTTAGATGGGACAAACGAAAGAGTAATTAGACCAGAAAGAAACTGCTAATGTACAAACTTTGTGCGTTCATGGAAAATAGGGTTGCGGGCAATATGGATGGCTGCTTTGCTATCTGAGTGAAGAGGAATTGGAAGGGTAATAGGAGCGGAGAGGTCATCAAAAAGACGTACAAGACAGGTTAGTTCAGTAGTGACTCTTCGCATGGAGCGGTATTCTGCTTCGGCAGAAGAAAAAGAAATGGATACTTGTTTCTTGGATTTCCATGAAATCGGAGATCCCCCTAAAGTGATGAAGAAACCACTCACCGACCTTCAAGCGTCTTTGCAAGAGGCCCAGTCGGCATCACAAAAGGCAAGAAGAGAAAAATCTGGTGTAGAGGATAACATGATCCCCTGGCCAGGATCAGTGCTCAGATATTTAAGAACCCTTAAAGCTGCAGAAAAGTGTGACAGGCAAGGGCGTTGCATGTATTGACTCAAAGTGAGAACAGCAAAGGAGAGATCTGGGCGTGTGTTGGTAAGATAGTTCAGTTTTCCAACCAAGTGCTGAAATAGAGTGGGATTGTCCATGAGAGGACCATCGTCTGCTTGAAGCTTGGAACAGGGATCTAGAGGAGAAGTTGCACGAGGAAAATGAGAGACATCAAATTCCTCGAGCATATCCAAGGTAAATTTACGTTGACTGATGATAAAACCATTACTTTCTCGCAAAACTTCTAGACCAAGAAAATTGTGTATGTCTCCTAAATCCTTTACCTTGAACTCACAATTTAGAAATTCTTTGATGTTTTGAATCTCTTGCGTATCATCCCCTATTAATAATATGTCATCAACATACACTGCTAAAATGGATATGATACCATCTCTTTTCTTAAAAAATAGAGAATAATCATTCAATGATGATGAGTATCCTTTGAAACTCAATGCCCCTGCAAGCCGAGCATACCACTGCCGCGAAGCTTGCTTCAAACCATATAAAGACTTTTTCAACAGACAAACATGAGTGGGACTAGGAGGGGTGAGTCCTGCTGGAAATTTCATGTACACTTCCTCTTGTAAATCTCCATGTAAATAGGCGTTATTCACATCTAACTGGGACACATTCCAACCCCTTTTTGATGAAACAGCAAGAAGACATCTTATAGTTGTCATCTTGACTACCGGAGAGAAAGTCTCACTGTAGTCTATCCCCTCTCTTTGAATATCCCCCCTTACTACAAGTCTTGCTTTTAGTCTTTCAATGGTTCCATCAGATAAGTGCTTGACCTTATAAACCCATTTGCAAGGTAATGACTTCTTGCCTTTAGGCAACTCAACCACTTCCCAAGTTTGATTGTCTTGTAAAGCTTGAATTTCTGATTCCATAGCTTGTCTCCAACCTGGATGTTGAGAAGCCTGTTCATAACTATTAGGTTCATTTAAAGTGGATAGAGACTGGATCAGATGTTGATTACTGATAGTGAGAGATGAAAAAGAATAGGCACTAGGCCTATTAGGGTGAGAGAAACATGCCCTGTCCAGATCAGCAAACATGATGTTGTTACACACATAGTCCTTAAGATACACTGGTTGTTGTGTGATTCTATCAGACCTTCTCAATGAAACTTCCTGTCTAGGTGCAGAGACAGGAGAGTTGGTTGGGTATATGCTAGGACTGGTGTGAGGGACAGGTGAAACAGGCTGATGAGGAGTGGGTGTGGTGTATGAATCAGAAGAGTGAGGTTGAAGATAAGGTGATGATGGAGAGATTGGATTGTTAAGGTCCATATCTTCTGTAGAGGATATTTCTTCATGTACATGTTGAGAGGAGTTGGAGTCCAAAGAAAGGTGTGAATCTGAAAAAATAGGATTATGGATAGGTTTAAGTTTGGCAAAAGGAAAATGTGACTCAAAAAATTTAACATCTCTAGAAACAAAAATCCTCTTGGTTTTCAGTTCCAATAGCTTGTATCCTTTTTGATTCAAAGGGTATCCAATCAACACACAAGTTGTTACTCTCTCATCAAATTTGCTTCTTCCTTGTGTTAAGGTAGAAGCATAGCATAGACATCCAAAACTTCTCAAATAATCATATTTAGGCTTTTGTTTGAAAAAGACTTCAAAAGGAGTCTTACCATTTAGTACTCTGGAAGGCAATCTATTTATGATGTGTGTTGCAGTCAGAATAGACTCTCCCCAATATGATATGGGTAGTCTAGACTGGAACATTAAACCCCTTGCAACTTCTAGGAGATGCATGTACTTCCTATCAACAATTCCATTTTGTTGAGGAGTACCAACACAGCTTAACTGATGCAGTATCCCTTCTGATGCAAGAAAATTTGCTTCTTGTGTCCCCTTTCCCAATTCCAAAGCATTATCAGATATTATCATTTTAACCTTCACATTTAATTGTCTCTCCACCATAGATAGGAAACTCTTAAGCATGGGAAAAGCATTGCTTTTAGCACTCAACAAAAATGTCCAGGTTCCTCTACTGTAGTCATCAACATAGTGAGGAAATATTTGAAACCATTATAAGTGCTAGATTTATAGGGTCCCAAAGTATCAATATGTATAAGGTCAAAAACATGCTTGGTTTTTATGTTACTGATGGGAAAAGGATTCCTAGTCTGTTTAGCTTTAGGGCAGATATCACAAATAAAATCAAAATTTGAAGCACAATGAAAGAAATGTAAATGTTTCATTACTGAAACTGGAACATGACCCAACCTTTCATGCCAAAGCTTTACATCAGGTATCACATTGACATGAACTGACTCTGAACTTAATACAGACCTAGAACTGGAATTTCTTCCTTTTGAAAATGAAATTACATCACTACTAAGCATACCACTAGACTTGAAATTATTGGGCTCTAACAAGTAGAGACCTTCTCTAACTTCACCAAAAACTTGAAGACTCCTCATTGAAAGGCCCTGCAACAGACACCCACTAGATGTAAGTAGAAGATTATACTTGAATTGCACACAGAACTTATGAACAGATAATAAATTATATTTAAAATCTGGCACATGAAGGACATTAGTTAAAACATGACCTGGCAGAATTGATATACTCCCAATATGAGTAATACTTACCTTGAAAGTGTTAGGTAAATTAGTGTTTAAAGATACTGGGAGTGAATTTAGAAACAAGAAAGAATTGGGGTCAAAACACATATGTTCTGATGCTCCAGAATCAATTATCCAGGAATATGGTTTCAAACTAGTAAATACTGATCCTGAGTATTTCATAATAGTACCAACCACAGCATTTGCATTAATTCCTGATCCTCCACTCTGTGCTGATTTTGCCTGTTTGTATATATCCATCATCTCTGCAATTTGTTCCTTGCTAAAATGTTGTCCAAAACTGATGTTGTTGCCCTCATTGTTCTGCCCTGTTGCATTGCCTTGACATGATTTTGATAAGTCTTTGGGTTAGTGAATTCAAAGTTATCTGGGAAGCCAATCAGTCTGTAACAGTCTTCTTGTGTATGTCCTATCTTCCCACAATAGGTACAAGACAGATTAGGATTGTATTTCTTCTTCCCTCTGTATTTCTACTGTTGTCTTGCAATGTTTTGAGCTGCATTGTTGAACTTCTGACCAGCCACTGTTCCTTTAGGGCCTTGATTTCTGAATTTCTGATTATTCCTTCCTTGTCCTGCTGCCATGAAGGTTGCAAAATCAGGAAAATTTGATTGTTTTCCCTGTCCAGCCACCATGAATGATGCAGAATCTAAACTGAAATGTGCATTTGCATATATTTCCCTTTGATTCTCATCCTGTAAAAGTAGTGAGTATGCAATGTCCATTCTAGATAAAGGACTCATCATAAGAATGTTTCCCCTAGCTTGTGCATATTCATTCAATCCCATCAAAAATTGAATTAACCTTTGATCTTCCAAAGACTTAGTCAGCTTAGCTTTTCCCTCACATAAATATACACATGAACAGGTTATGGTTACATTTAGAGCATCTAATTCATCCCACAGTCTCTTAAGCTTGGAGAAATATCCAGCAATATCACTGTTACCTTGTGTTAAACTTGACAGCTCCTTTTGGAGGTGGAAGAGTTTGGCACCATTGGATTTGCCAAATCTTTGTTCCAAGCTGTCCCAGAGTTCTTTAGCTGTTTTTGAGTAAATCACACTGTCAGCAATGTCTTTTGACAGTGCATTTAGAATCCAAGATGTAACCATGTCATTGACACAACTCCACTGCTCATAATTAGTAGAGTTCAGATCTGGAGCCTTGCAAGCCCCATTGATGAATCCAAGTTTCTTCTTGGCTGATAGGGATAGAAGAATGGATCTCTTCCATCCTGGGTAACCTCTTCCATCAAACACAGTGTTGACTAGGGTCATCCCAGGTGAATCTGAGTGATTGAGATGATATGGATGTTTGATATCATATCCTGCTGCCGTAGGGGTGTTTCCAGTATCTGCAACTACAGCTGTTGTGGTTTCACCAGTTACACTCATCTTCTTTCACTTAGAGCTGAAGGATAGATTTTGGTGATTGATGATTGATGTTGGATCGAGCTCACTTCTCTGATACCATGAAGAATTTTGAAGACTTAGCTATGCAGAAATCATGAATTAGGCGACTGAAGAGATAGAGAAATTTTTTGTGTATTGATTCAATTTTTTGTACATGTATATATATACAATTGAGTATTGAATAAAATAAAGAAAAAGGAAAGTTGCTATTTACACTTGTCCTATTTGTATTTGTCTATTTGCAACAGAAAAATTCTATCCTAACTAATTGATATTCCTTCACGTGACCTTCAGATGAGGTAGGAAGCTTCTACCAATTAAACAAATCAAAGGTCTAGATTTAATCCATCAGGAAAAGATGTGTGGCTATGATTAGCCACTCCAAAGTCTGATGTGTGGCTGTGATTTCATAACTTCTTACAAACTA